GCTAAAAACCCCAACAGTAAGTCACAGTCACATGATTAAGAAATCAAATTAAGTTCAAACATCTTTACTGATTTCGAACAATCATTTTCAGTGAAGCCCCATTTCAAAGATCCTGAAGACTTTATGGTTGTGAGATCAGGAAATTCTATCAGAATCAAAATTAATTATGAGGTAAAGATCCACATCTACATATCCACAATTATTTACCTTCTTCAAAGAGAAAGAAACTGATATTCGGCACACAGGCCTCTCCGCCGCCAGACATTACCTGGCTTAAGAATGGGGAACCTGTATCTCCCTGGAACAAGATAATTCATGCTGATGGCACTTGCACGCTTGTCATTCCCTCCTCAAAGTACTCAGATTCAGGAGTCTACACCATTGTGGCTAAAAACTCAAGTGGGCAAGCCAGCTTTGACATAGAGGTCAGAGTAACAGGTAAGCTATATTTGATGTAAATGATATAGCTGTGATCACACAATGTAAACAAGTTTAGTACTGTGCTGCATACAATCTGTTGCAAATATTCATTGCAAATATTAATTGTTCAAAGTCATTTTTCATGCTTTAAGCCTAGGTGAGACCACACCTTCAGAGACAACAAACCAGAAAAGAACATGTCAAAGAAACAAAGAGTTACTCATAAGTGAAATAAACTATTGCATATTCTATTCCTATAAAATAATCCTACTTTATGTGGCTACAGATGAACCCAAGCCCCCAGGCCCAGTGGTGCTAGAACAGGTGGTTTATGGCAAAGTCATTATCACATGGAGTCCTTCTCCAGACCACAACAAAGACGACCGACTGCACTACGTGGTGGAAGAATATAACTCCAACACACGCATTTGGCGCAGAATAGCCGACCATCTTCTCTGTACTACCTACACTACCAACATTCAACCAGGTCAAGAATATCACTTCAGAGTCTATGCAAAAAATGATATGGGACTCTCTGATCCTTCAGAATCACCAACATGGGGCATAAACAACAATAAAGGTGGGTAGCAGGACCACTACCAGTTTAGCTTATTGTTTTGCACAATGCTAAGTACTTAGGTCTTTTTTTATTTCCTTCCCACCAACTAGTTCCAATGCCCTCAACTGTGTCAGCCGTGGTCACTTTGGAAAGGCCACCATCCATCCTGGTTCCACTGAAACGCCACACTCCACCAAAAGGATACCAGTGCTACATGACCTGCGCTGTCCGCGGCTGTCCCAGCCCATACATTGCATGGTACCATAACGGGATTTGCATCAACTCCGACAACAACTACTACATCACAAACACATCTGGTGTTTGCTCTATGTACATCCTCAGAGTTCGACCTGAAGATAGTGGCGAGTACAAAGTGGTGGCAGTCAACCAATTTGGCAAGGCAGAATGTTCTTCTATATTAAAAGTAAAAGGTATGACAGCTGCAGTGTTCATTTCGATGCTTGAGAAGTGTTTACCACAGTCACCTGATTTACATGATGGTTTGTCCTTTGTGAACAGTCACGTTGCTAATAATTTTCAACATGGTTACGTAATGCAAATGGGCAACAGCTATGCCAGAGCTTGTCAAAAAGTGACCTGCAGGGCAAATATGGACCGTCAATCATTTTTATGCGGTCACAGATTGATTTAGACAAATTAGCTGCACCGCTTGATACATTAGAGCACTTACTGTGCAAATCTCTATGGTGAATTCAGAAGCCCTCAGCAGTCAACAATTAAAAATAAAAATAAAAATAAAACTAGGGCCTAATTGTATAAGACAAATCACACTAATGGCCTCTATACTGTCCCTTTTGACAAAGCTCATACTGTGTGTACTTGCACTGCATTATCAATTGCAACATGACTTCTTTTGAAATTCAAAAACACACAAAATTAAGCCAGAGTACCTAGAATGAGACCTGCATAAAGTATGTTTCAGTCATGAAAATGAAAGAGCTAAGATCTGACAATTACTCAAAAAAAACAACTGTCATTTGGATCATTTGGCTTTCTGAAAAAGTAGATTAAAAGCCCTGGCCAGTGCATTACATATGTAAATCAAAATCAAATTACTTTTACAAACACATTTTTCTATTCCGCTTTTCCAAAAGACTAAGGTTTACCACAATAACAAAAAACTCTTAAATATAATTTTTGTATAAAATAGTTGGTCATTAATTTTATTCTTTCTCCTTTTTTCTGTGTATTTCAGATTGATCTGTACTCCACTGGACGTGCTAGTTTTTGCTCTGCTTCCGCCACAGTTAATTTCCTGCATGCATTTTAAGCTAGGACAGTGCATGCATATAAATGAACATAGCTACACTCTAAAAAATGCTGGGTTGTTTCAACCCAATGTT